CCCTGACTTCAAGCCCCACAATCGACCAAAAAAAAAAAAAAAAAAGCTGGATTAAAAAGATGGAGCTGAGGTTCAATAGACTGTAAGGTCCACATTACTCATCATCATGCTAATATTGCCTACTACTACTGTTGAACGTTTCTTTATTAACATGTGCTTCACTGCTTCTTAAAATAGTTCCATAACCAAACGCTGCAATTCTGAAAAGCATGATAAAAAAGGTTCTCTGATCAGGCTCATTACTGAATATTTTTAGCAGAGCAATAATTAGGATTTGGAGGAAGCCGGGTACCTCATTATGTAAGCAGAGGGCTTGGCTTCTTTCAACCAGCCAAAGCAAATCTTCTCAACTCCAAATCTCCTGCAGCGTCTGGTTTCAAAAGAAAGATAAGCTCTTGTTACCAGTGCCCCCAATGACTTCCTCAGAAGCTGAGTGCCAGTGGCTCATGCCTATAATCCTAGAAATTCAGGAAGCTGAGATCTGAGGATCATAGTTCAATGGCAGCCAGGGCAGAAAAAAAAAAAAAAAAAAAAAAAACTATGAGACTCTTACCTCCAATTGACCAGAAAATGTCAGGAAAGAGAGGTGTGGGAGAGCCTGACCTCTGAGATCAAGCCCCAGTATGGGAGGAAGAAGTACAGAGAAGAGAGATCACGTGAGCTTCTCCAAAGCCAAGGTAAAGATTGGCACTAAACCCAATAAAGGACATTGAGTAGGCATCTGGCTTGCATCTTTGAAGATTCTGTGGATCTTCCTATGTAGCTTGACATGGACAACAATGCTTCACTGGCTTAAGGTCATAAATTAGTGGCAGAACACTCCTCTAGAATGGGTAAAGTGTAAAGCCCTGGGTTTGATCCTCAGTAACACACACACACACACACACACACACGCACACGCACGCACGCACGCACACACACACACACACACACACACACACCTTTTTCATTGTTTTAATTATTTTAATTCTCTTGTCAAAGTGATATACAGAAGGGTATATAACTAAAGTAGTGAGTACATTTCTTGTCGAACTTGTTACCCCCCCCCCTCATTTTTCTCCCACTTTCCCTCCCCCCAAGCCCACCCCCCCCACACACACATTTTGAACAAGATTGATGAAGGAAGATAGAGAAAAGTGGATGAATTAGGGAAACATTTTAGTAGTGGGTTGGTGATTGGAAATCAATTGGAGATGGAGAGTTAAGGGAGAAGGAAATGGCCCAGATGAGTTAGGTCATTTTGTCTAGGTACTTGATGTATTCATTGAGGAGGTTAAGGTCGAGTAGTTTTCCTTGAGGTTTAAGAGACTTGCCCATCTGTAAACTGAGAACCCAGTGCCTTGCGCCCAGGGTGTATCATACTGTCCAAGGCTTAATGTTTCTTGCTTGATTTCTTTCTTGCTTGCTTCTTGAACTCTGGGCCTGGGCGCTGTCCCTCCGCTCTTCAGCTCAAGGCGAGCGCTCTACCACTTGAGCCACAGCGCCACTTCTGGTTTTCTGGTAGTTTAGTGAATTTAAGAGTCTCACAGACTTTCCTGCCTGGGCTGGCTTTGAACCACGATCCTCAGATCTCAGCCTGCTAAGTAGCTAGGAGTGCCAGCAGCACTCAGCTGGTTTGATATTTCTATTTAAGTGGTTCTAATGATGTGAGTCGCAGATTCTCAGTTGCCAAAACATGAGTTTAACTGACAGCAGAATTTTGAGAGTGAGTCCAATTCTTATCGTTATTGGTTGGTACATCCACACATACCTCTTTTTTTTTTTGCCGGTCCTAAGCCTTGAACTCAGGGGCTGGGTTTGTCCCTGAGCCTCTCTATTCTCAAGGCTAGCACTCTACCATGTGACCCACAGTGCCACTTTCAGCTTTTTCTGTTTATGTGGTACTGAAGAATTGAACGCACGGCTTCGTGCATGCTAGGCAAGCCTTCTACCACTAAGCCACATTCCCAGCGCCCCAAACATATCTTTGAAGACTTTAAGAAAATCGAATGAAAACTTGGCATCTTTCCTACTTGTTTATTTTCAGTCTGTCCCATATATTCCAGATAAAAGGACCTTCAAGCAATGAAGCTGCCATGCAGAGAAAATGCTTGTTAGGGAAATAAATTCATCCAGCATCCCCACAGGCATGTCTTTAGATGAGAGATTAAAAAATACTATACTTATTCTTCTTTTCCTTTGGGAGAATGTGCCACAGACTTCCTTGGGAGATGCTGCCAGCTGACTAATTCATTGACTCACTTGTTATGCTCCATTCACTTACTCATTTGAATTGCATTTTTTGGAGCATCTTCTGTGTAGTAGACACAGGAGCACCAAGCTGGATGGAGCAATGCAAAAAACAACCAAGGCAGAATCTGGGCATTTGAAATATTCATTTCTACATGGAGACAGATACTAAAAATACTTTCATGGCCAGGCGCTGATGGCTCATGCCTATAAACCTAGCTACTCAGGAGGCTGAGATCTGAGGATCATGGTTCAAAGCCAGCCCAGGCAGGAAAGTCCATGAGACTCTTATCTCCAATAAACTACTCAGAAAAAACCAGAAGTGGCACTGTGGCTCAAGTGATAGAGCAATACCCTTGAGCACAAAGAGGCTCAGGGATACTGCTCAGGCCCTAAATTTGCCAAAAACTGGCAAAAAAATACTTTCCTGGCAGGATGCATGGCTCAAATGATAGAGCACCAAAATAACCCCCCCCCCCACCAAATACTTTCAATATCAAGAAGATATGTTTATATCTAGATGTTGTGGATTCTTCCCAGGGCTGTTGGGAATAACTTCCTAAAGACATTACCTTGAAGCTGGGCCTTGGGAATGAGGAGGAAATGTGTAGATACTATGGGCAGGGAAGGGGTATCCAGGGCAGAAAGGAAGAGCTCAGCATGAGCAAATGCCAAGAGCCAGTCAAGAGCAAGTCAAGGTCCAGATGATGAGAACATGGTATAATTGTGGGAAACTGTATAGAACAGAGACTGTAAGAATCAGCAGGGGGGCTGGGATTGTGGCTCAGTGGCAGAGTGCTTACCTTACATGCATGAGGCCCTGGGTTCGATTCCTCAGCACCACATAAGCAGAAAATGCTGGAAGTGGCTTGTGGCTCAAGTGGTAGAGCCCTAGCCTTGAGCTGAAGAGCTGAGGGACAGTGCCTAGGCTGAGAGTTCAGGCCCCATGACCCACCAAATAAAAAGACTCATCTGACTTATGTAACTGTAACCCTTCTGCACACCACCTATGTAATAACAATAAAACTTAAAAAAAAAAAAAAGCATCAGCAGGGACCTGATGTGAAGGTCTCCTGTACGAAGAGCCTCAACTTTGTCCTGGCCATTAAAAGAGTCAGTTGAAGTGATCTTAGCTTTATCTCTTCTTTCTTCCTCCAATAGGAATGTTTGTTCCAACACAGAGAACAGAGGGTATCTCAACATCAGACATCATCACTAGAATTGTCCGTGACTATGATGTTTATGCCAGACGCAACCTCCAGAGAGGGTACACAGCCAAGGAACTGAATGTCAGCTTCATAAATGTAAGTATGTCACACATACCCTCTGGCAGCCAGCATACCACCAGTACTCTACTGCTGCGATTAATTGAGCATTTACTATTGCCACATGCTTTTGTTTTTTAAATTTTTTCCATTTCCTGGAGTTCATTTCAATAAATATTATTTTATATGATTGGAGTGTTTTTTAAAAATTTTTTGTTGATACAGGGGCTTGAACTCAAGGCTTTATGATTATCCTGGGTTTTTTCAGCTCACAGCTGGTGCTCTACCATTTGAGCCATGTCTCCATTGTCAGCTTTTTTACTTATTAATTGAGGATAAGAGTCTGTTAGGCCGGGCACCAGTGGCTCACGCCTGTAATCCTAGCTACTCAGGAGGCTGAGATTTGAGGATGGAGGTTCAAAGCCAGCCTGGGCAGGAAAGTCTGTGAGACTCTTTTTTTGTTGTTTTTTTTTGGGGGGCCTGAACTCTGGGCCTGGGTGCCGTCCCTCAGCTCTTCAGCTCAAGGCTAGC